GTACACACTCAAAGGATTATCTTATGTACACATAAAATATTCAACTTGTATACAATAAAAAGCGTTTACAGGTCTGAAACGTTGACACAGGAAGCACAAGAGCCTGGACAAGCCATAGAAAGGAAAAAACGAAAAAAGAGCAATTGACGTCTATAGATGTCAATTGCGAATGAGTTAAATGCCTCGTATCTGGATTTACGGATTCACAAACTGTCTCTGAGCTTGTGGAGTTTACTTTTACACAGAAGTCAATCGGAGCCAGAGAGATTCGCAGCCAAATTTCCCTGTTGGGCTTCATTGAGCTACGGGGGTTAGCATTATCCATGTATACACAGTCTGTGGACGTCACCATCCACAAAGGGAGCTGCCCAGACAAACAAAGAGAGAATATTTATCACAGATCTGCCACAGTGGAGTGAGTCAGATCCTGCTCCACAGAGAGACACCTGTTGACTCTCTGGGGTCTGACATCAGCTCTCGAGGTCGCCGCTCTCCCCGCTCTCCCCGCTGGCCTCGTTCATCAGCCAGAATACAGTAAACACTCTGGAGGGGCCGCTGATGAGCCTTCATTTCATTTGAAGGAAGTGTCTTTTGCTGGTTGGTGCCAGCGTGACCATGGCACCGTGAGTCACTCCATGTGTCTATCGCCTCGTCTTAATGAGCTAATGGCACAAACGCAGTCAGGGCTCGGGGCCAGACGGTCCAGCTGCGCGTTGTGACTCCACTCCTGATTTACTCATAGATCTGGCTGTGGCCTCTGACCGCTGCTAACAAGCTGATTTGTAAGGGCTCGAACCGGGAGGGGAAGTGTTGGGAGCTGTCAGAGAGCAGATGTCAGGCGTCTTCACACGTGTGTTTGCTGCAGTTTTATTATTTACGGTTTTCAGTCAGGTGGTTCTGTCCATCCATTCACGAGGGCTGCACGAGTACAATACTCACAGTCAAATCACAATTTTCATGGTTGCAAGTAGAAAATCACTATTACTGCAATAATAATGCAATAAGAATTAAACATATGCAAAAATATCACTTTGCTTTCACTTCACAATATATACAAAAAAGAAAAGTTCTCTTTGTAGTTGTAGATAGATAGAAAACACATCCATCCATCCAAACAAATTAAAACATAATTCATAAAGTTACTCACAATAGTAATAAAGTGCAACAGCAGTGGAGGTGGAGTATAGTCGCTGGTGATAAGCCACTTATGGAGTGATTTTCTGAAAAAAATAAGCACTCCTGCAGTGGATTTCCGCTTGATCTGCTTGGTTTGGGATCGTGCATCTTCTCTGTTCTGGTCTGGATCAGTGTAAAACATTTACAGCTAGAAAAAACTATTGTAAAACACAAAACAACAACTACAGAGCTACTTCGGACTTGCTGCCATTTTCTACGCATTCAAAAGTAAATATCCATGACATGACAGAATGTGCAACTGCAAAATACATTTGGTTGCATTTCATTCACTTTACTTCCTCAAATTGCTAATGAACCATGAAACCCTGACTCTCAATGGACAGGATTAAACCAACAACAGACCGTGCAGATGTCCGCACTTGGACTGTGTTGCCATGCGGCGCAAACTTCACTAAATCTGGCTCTGGAGAACAAATCACAGCACATGTGAGAGCGGCCCGCAGAGCTGTGCCAAGGCCGCTGCTGATTAATTCATCACAAACTACAAAGTGAATTATTAACCACTGCTAGCATGTTGTATTCACACATTATGCAATATACATGTTTGGGCCTTTTTAATTACGACAGCGGAGACATCGCGCAGGTCCGGGCACTGATGGTTTATGCATAAAGAGGAGGTGGACGTGGAATGTGTGCAGGGACTCTGTGGGCTGGATACATGCTAAATGCTGACCTTGTTTTGTTGCCAATGCCGTCCACTCTGATTGGATTCAAGAGCACTCCAGGCTCACCCCGGCCCTGGTGGAGGCTAGCGCTTAATGCCGCAGCTTTTTCATGGCTACAATTGATGTAACAGATGCCAGTCACAGTCCAAAAGTGAAATCAGGTCGTTTTTGGAATATTTGATTTCAGTATTTTCAGCGATTGTTTATTCATTGTATTGACTTTTCTCCGCTCAGAGCAGTTCTGTTGTGTTCTTGGGGAAGACACTTTACCAGTTGTGTCTGTATGTGTACACGGACTTCTTTCTACATCTATTATCGATGTGTTTAAATGCCTTTATTGTTCCCATAGTGAGACAAGGACATGGCTTTGGAGCATCGTGTATTTGTTCTCCCCTGTCATTTACATATTCAGAGTCGTCTTTAAGAGATTCATGCAGGTTTGAGTTATTTATATTTTCTTACGCAAGAGATCCAGTTGCTCTATCCTGACTCCTCTGCATCTTGTTTTAGGTTATAAGTGTTGGCCGCTGGATTCAACTACATTTTTTTTTTTTTTATAGCCCAATATCAGATGACTTTACAAAGCTGTTTATTTGCCAACACAGATCAGAGAATCAAACACAAAAAATGCAATGATATCTTGAAATATTAATAAATGTCCATACATTTCTTTCAGTTACACATTAAAATCCAACTGTTTTCCAGGCCATTGCTTGGCATGGGTCAGGGAAAGAAGGTTCTAAAACTACACACAATTATGTTAAATAGTATGTTTATACTTCTTCATCTGAATAAAAAAAATAAAAAAATACCATGAATCGGGAATTGCATTATAATGGACAAAATGTATGAACACATCTATAGATCATCTCAAAGTAGGTAGAAGTGGCTCTAAAGGTGATTTATAACTGCCCTAAGTACCAGTTGCATTGGTAGATTTCTATTTGGCTTCTTGTTTTGATTCAATCCAATAAAAAACATTTATGAAAAGCACACACATTTCTCCTGCTACTCCTCTGGCAGCATGAGATTTTTTAATTGCATTTGAGGAAAGTGTTTAATCACCTTGTTTTTTTCATACAACACAATATTACTCTGAGAAACTGTGATTGCTGGCGCTGTCAACACAGAGCAAGACGCAGAAGCATTGATTTACCGTAGGGTTCAATGTTCTCCTTTTTCCGGAACTCTTGTGGTTGCCTGGTAACATTGAGCTCTTCAGACTTCGGCAGGAGAGGCGGTAAATTCGCTCCACTTGGATATGGGACTTCTTTCCGGCAGTCTTACATTGACGGCCCCCCTCCTGCCCTCTCTCGTCCCCTCGGAGCAGTGACATTTCGCCACGGTCGGCGGTGGCGGTCTGAGAGTTATAGAGAGTCACACCAGTAAACAGCCGCAGCAGATAAGGACGTATATACTTCAAAAAGGCTTATCTCCAGCGCCTGACATTTCCAACAATCTAAAGGAGAGACATCAGACTCGCTCATGGCTCGTGGCAATTCCATACAGTGCAGGGACGTATGCACAGAATACAAACAGTTAAAAACCCTGGCTAAAAGGATTAGGCAACAAGTATCGGCCGGCTTAGGAAGATTAACGCGCCATGGAAACTCATGAAAGTTCTCATCTCAGTCTACAGCACTTTCTGGGCTAAGCATACGATTGTTGCCATAGCTACAATTGTTTTTAGCTTTGTACAGACCAGGGGTGTCCAAACATTTTAGTAAGAGGCCCACTTTAGTTCACCAGACTAGTCCAGGGGCTGACATCAAATACTGAAAAACTGTCTTGACTGGCATCGGGCTGTTCTGAGCTTTAAAATGATCTAAAACAGAGCTGAGGTTGGCTGAATGACAAATGTTTTCCATCTTAACAGCTACTGTAGCACCATTAACAGAAGTTTTATTAAAAAAACGCGTCTGGGTTGTAGAACGAGTCACGATATGCCTATATTGGCTCAGCTGAAGTTGAATAAAATGACACTGAGGGCCACAACTGGCACTCGGGCCTGAGTTTGGACTTGCCTGATATAGACTATTATATACTGTATGTCTGACAGCGGAGACGTCTTGTTTAGAAAGATCCATGCCAATCATTGACTATTTAAAAATATCACTGGTTAAGATTAAGTAGATCCTTTATTCACAGTGGGGGTGTTTCAGTGTTGCATCAGCAGTTACAGAACAGTAGGAATGAAGAGCACACTACACAAGATAAATGAAGAATAACAAAAACGAAAGTAAAATGAAATCTCGGTTGTACTACCTTGCCCTAGCTTAAAGACCCGTGTTGCAGATCTGCTCCATGAAGGGGCCTGATGATTGTCCATTCACATGTTTTTATTTCCTACATTACTGTTAAGGAGGTTACTCTATGAACTCCCACCTTCACATGGGGAGTTTGCACGCTCGGATTATCCTAGGAGCTACGTATGCTGCATGGTGCTTTAAGTCTCGGGTAGGGTCTCCCAGAGCAAACAGGTCTTGGGTGATGAGCCAAACAAAGCACGGTCCTAAACCCACCATGAAGAGTGTTAGATCAAGGACCGTGACTGGACAACGTGAGCTCAACACCTGTAGAGGGATTGATGGTGGTCAGATGTCAAGAGGACTGGGTGGTGGTCCTGAGTCTTGGATCTAAAGTCTGTCTGTGGGAGCGGATCTCTCCCTCAATGTGGGCCTTCCGGAGGTTTCTCACTTTTTTCCCTCCGAGTTGTTTCTTGCCAACACAGGAGGGTCTAAGGACAGTGGTGATGATCCAAGACATTTACCAACATTTATGGTCATCAGCCCCTTATGGACCAATGGTATTTTTTTATCATGCATTTCCTGTGCATTTGTAAAGTCCTTCAAGATAACTACTGTTGTGATCAATGGCTAAACAAAATGGAATTGAAAAGATATATACTAATGGGAACATCTATTCTACGTATGTATATTATACTTGAAATAATGATTGATATTTTGTTTTTTTATCAGATATGTTGAAACTTCCGACAGCCCCATCCACGTTCTAAATGTCCGCTGATGTCAGAAAGCAAGGGTTTCCTCCCACAGGCGCCGCACCTGTACTTGTGTCTTGAGTGAGAGTGATGGATTGCATAACTGTACAGCTGGATGGACGTGTCCATAAGGCTTATTACAGCGCGGACATGGGCGCAGACAGCGTCATGGCAGAGGACGCGCTGTGAAACTCGCGCTGGCATCCACGGCCTAATCTGACACATCGCATTTACCCCTCCAGAGCCTCACCGTTTTACCCAGCATGCAACTGGAGCCTCCGCTGTCACCCGGCCTAATGTAAGGTCGACTGACAGTGATGAAGCTGACCCGCTGCTCCTTTAGGGCCGCTGTGTCAGTGATGGTGGGAGGCTTCGTGAGACAAGGTTCAGATTCATTTTTTATTTGCCATTTGCAGTAAAACCACATTGGAATACATTTGCAAAAGTCCCCAGTCCAAAAAAATTAATTAAAAGTACAGAAATAAAACAAACAAAACGGTAAACAGAATCAGAATCAGAATCAGAATCATTTTTATTGCCAACGTAAGTAACGGGAGGTCACAGACTTGGAAATTGCTTTGGCTCAGTGCAACAGTCAAAAAGAGATAATAAAAATAAGAATAAAAAACACTTCTAAAGAATAAATTTAAATTTAAAATAGAGTTACAGTTACTATTTACAATATACAAGTGCACATGGTGCACACAATGTAAGGTGACAGCAGTACAGTGAAGTAAAGTGACGTATGATGGGCAGTAAAGTGACTTTATAAAGGGCGGGGGGACAGGTTAAGAAGTGTTCAAGAGTCCAACAGCAGAGGGGAAGAAACTGTTCTTGTGGCGGGAGGTTCTAGTCCTGATGGACCGCAGCCTCCTGCCTGAGGGGAGTGGTTGGAATAGTCCATGTGCAGGGTGAGAGGGGTCGGCTGTGATACGACCAGCCCGGCCTCGAGCTCGGGCGACGTACAGGTCCTGCAGCGATGGAAGGCTGCGGCCGATCACTTCCTCTGCAGAGCGCACAATGCGCTGTAGTCTCTGTTTGTCCCTGACTGTGGCTCCAGCGAACCACACGGTGATGGAGGAGGTGAGGACGGACTCGATGATGGCCGTGTAGAACTGCACCAACATCTGTGCAGGCAGCTTGGCTTTCCTGAGCTGCCGCAGGAAGTACATCCTCTGCTGGGCCTTCTTGATGAGGGAGCTGATGGTCGGCTCCCACTTGAGGTCCTGGGTGATGGTGGTGCCCAGGAAACGGAAGGACTCCACAGAGGTGATGGGGGAGTCCATCACGGAGGGTGGGGGCGGGGGGACAGTGCTCTTCCTGAAGTCCACAATCATCTCCACTGTCTTCTGGGCGTTCAGCTCCAGGTTGTTACCACTGCACCAGGACACCAGCCGGTCCACCTCCCTCCTGTAGGCGGACTCATCGTTGTTGGAGATGAGTCCAATGAGGGTGGTGTCGTCCGCGAACTTGATCAGCTTCACGGAGTCGTGGCTGGAGGTGCAGTGGTTGGTGTACAGGGAGAAGAGCAGGGGAGAAAGAACACAGCCCTGTGGGGCTCCTGTATTTATAATCCGAGAGTCCGAGACATTCTTCCCCAGACGCACTCGCTGCTTCCTGTCCGTCAGGAAGTCAGTGATCCACCTGCAGGTGGAATCGGGCACGTTGAGCTGGGAGAGCTTGTCCTGGAGCAGGGATGGCAGGATTGTGTTGAAGGCAGAGCTGAAGTCCACGAACAGGACCCTGGCGTAGGTCCCCGGGGAGTCCAGGTGCTGTAGGATGTGGTGGAGGGCCAGGTTAATGGCGTCGTCTACAGATCTGTTGGCTCTGTAGGCGAACTGCAGGGGGTCCAGGAGGGGGGAGGTGAGGGACTTGAGATGGGAGAGAACCAGGCGTTCAAATGACTTCATGACGACAGACGTAAGTGCTACAGGTCTGTAGTCATTGAGTCCTGTGATCCTGGGCTTCTTCGGGACGGGGACAATGATGGAGGATTTGAAGCAGGCCGGGACATGGCAGGACTGCAGAGAGGAGTTGAAAATGACCGTGAACACAGGAGTAAGCTCACTGGCGCAGTGTCTCAGAGTGGCCGGAGACACGTGGTCCGGGCCAGGAGCTTTGCGGGGGTGCAGCCTTAAGAAGAGTTGTTTAATCTCTTTGCGGCTATTGTTAGGCTGGGGGCAGGGCTGATGGGTGGGTCGTTAGAGTAGTGGGGGGTGGGGGAGGGAGAGGTGTCAGGGGCAGCATCAAAGCGACTGAAAAATAAGTTCAGATCGTCAGCTAGCTTGTGGTCATCAGCACAGGGGGGGGCTTTGGGTTTGTAGTTGGTGATCTCCCGTAGGCCCCTCCAGACAGAAGCAGTATCGTTGTTACCAAACTGCTCCTGTAGTCGTTCTCTGTGCCGGGACTTGGCTGCTTTCAGTTCTTTCCTGAACTGATATTTAGCTGCTTTGTAGCCGCTGCGGTCCCCCTCCCTGAAAGCAGACTCCTTTGCTTTCCTGAGCTGCCGGAGTTTAGCAGTGAACCAGGGTTTGTCGTTGTTATAGATGACCCTGGTCCTTGTTGGAATGATGCTATCCTCACAGAAGTGGATGTATGACGTCACAGTGTCCGTATATTCATCCAAGCTGTCTGTGGCAGCTCTGAAAAGGTCCCAGTCTGTAGATTCCATGTATGCGCGCAGCTCTTCCACAGCTTCATCAGACCACACTTTGGAGCTCCTCACTGCAGGTTTCGAGAGCTTTAGTCTCTGTCTGTAAGCAGGAACCAGATGTATCATGGAGTGATCTGAGAAGCCGAGGGCTGGCTTGGGAACAGCGCGAAAAGCTCAAGTTTCCCTTATTAAAATCCCCCAGGATAATAATCAGAGAGTCCGGGTATAAGCGTTCCATACACAGTACTTGCTCTGCGAGTGCGCGCTGAGTCTCGCGCGCGTCCGCGCATGGCGGTATGTAAACAGAGGCAAGAATGAATGAAACAATTTCCCGCGGGGAGTAATATGGTTTACAATGAATGAAAAGATATTCCAGAGCAGGAGAGCAGTGCTTGGAGATCACTGTCACATCGTTACACCAGTTTGTATTGACGTAGAAACAGAGCCCTCCGCCTCTGCTCTTCCCTGAGAGCGCACAATGGCGATCCGCGCGAAACAGCCCAAAGCCCTGCAGCTCCAGAGCGCAGTCCGGGATCCGCTCATTTAGCCAGGTCTCAGTGAAGCAGAGGACACAGGATGTGGCGAAGTCCTTGTTTCTTCTCATGAGCAGGCTGAGTTCGTCCATCTTATTGCCCAGTGAGCGTACGTTGGAGAGAAAAATGCCGGGGAGAGCCGTGCGCGCTCCTCTCCTCCTAAGACGCACGAGCAGGCCTCCTCGCTTTCCCCTTTTACGGGCCCACACTTTTTTGGCTAGAACATGAACTAAATCAGCCGCAGATGCCAAGAAAACAGGCAATAGGTCCATGGGAACGGTGGGTCGGATGTTCATAAGTTCCTCACGGGTGTAGGAACAGCCAGATGCACAGTTAAAAAGTAAAAACAAAAGAAAAAGAGAGCAGCAAAGAGCCATGTCGACCGTACGAGGCGCCATCTTGAATCAATCACAGATGAATAACACCAACATATATTCAGTGCACACCAGAGCTCTTACTGCGGCGTTCTGACTCGGCGCCATCTTTCTCTCATCACCGACAATTTCACATTTCTGAAAACAGTGTTAAAATGTACTCACTTTGTCATGACTTAATATTCTCTATAATCAATAATGCAAAAACGTTACCCAATAAATGTAAGTTAGGGTTAGAGATATTCACAGTATTGAAAGTACTTTTATAGAGTTTAGGAAATAAATCATCTAAATCTAAAAAAATTACTTCTCACTTTTCACAGGTCAAATACTTATATGCGATTAAAATTCAATTAATTAATTACAGAGCCTCTAATTAATTAGATTCATTTTTTAAATCGAGTCCCAGCCATAGTAATAATGCATTTGTTCATTGAATACTAGCCTATAAAAATGTATATTTCTAATAAACACAGTTGGTACGATCTCAACCAATGAAGTAGGCAGCAGGCCCACAAGTGGGAAAACAAAAATAAGTTTAAAAAAAGTAATTTGGAATAAAACAAGCACCCTGATTACAGACCAGTAGGAATGAGGAGCACACAACAATTATATGAATAATAACTACAATGAAATACTACCTAAGTATTGTTCATCTCGCACTCATTCACCCTGAACTATTGTACATAGTGTTGGTGGTAGGGGAAACCGGAGCACCTGGAGGAAACCTACACAGACTCAGAAAGGCCAAGTTCTAACTTTAGCATAAAACAGAAATGTAAAATGCTGTTTAATCTAGTGTAATAAATATATAGCTGTATGTTTACATCTGTACACTTTAGCAGCGTGAGAGTATGGGACAAAGTGACTCAGTAAAGTGGCAAAGGAGATGGCTAAAGCTACAGTAGGCTAAATGCCTCACTCACTTCGGCGCATTATATACAGTACGTCACGGTAAAGTCAGATCCAATCGTTTCAATCTGCAAAAGCAGTTAACCCCTCCTGACCTGTTAACGCAGTCAATGGAAAAGCCCGACACATTTCTCCTAATCTTCATCTGAACATAAAGTCATCTGTGTTTGGTTTCTCAACAGAATCACAAAACTAAGTCTTGACACAGTTTTTGAGAATGCATTTGTTTATTTTTGAGTGAAGGGAAAAGCTTTACCTCATCAAGCGACTCATCGCTCGACAAGATAAAGGAAAGAAGAACTTTCACTTTGGTTTCTGCTCTGAAACACTGAATATCTGAAGTTTAACCTGTTAGATATTCCTGACTAGTTACACACAACTTTAACTGTAAACAATTACTTTGCCAATTAAACAAGAACTTATTTCTTATCCCATTGGCCAAAAGTTCTTGTGTAAATTAAAATGTGTGAAAACTTTCCAGAAAAATCTTAAAGCAGGTGGAACCTCTAAAGTCATGTTAGATCCTCTAGATACTAACTATGTTCACACTGAGATCATACCTCCTCAAGTCACGTATGACTCGACAAGATAAAGATCTAGTTTAGTGTTGTGTTAGCGTGATGCTAGCTTTGTCCTGAGCACCACGTCTAACACTAATGTCGGTGTTTGTTTTAGAAACACCACCAACTCCTACTCCTCCTCTTCTTCTTCTTGTGCAGCCCGTTGACCTCGTCCTGGAGCTCATGAACCTGGAGCTCCAGAGCAGTGTTGTAGTCCTGAGAGGAGGTCAGGTCCTCAGACAGCTTCTGGACCTGCTGCTCCAGGATCAGCCGGCTCTGTTTCTCTGAACACAGCTGTTCTCGGTGGAGCTGCTGAAGCTTCTCTTTGAGGACTTCCCAGACGTCTCTGTTGCAGGCAGGACTTTCTGTAGTATTTTGCATCTGGTTGTTCTTTAGTTCCTCCACCTCGCTCCACAAAGCCTCAGTCTCTTGTTTCTCCTGGTGCAGGGCCTGTCTGAGCTCGGTCACCTGATATTTCAGACTTTTCTCCTCTTTGGACCTCTGGGTGATTGTGTCCTGGAGGGCCTGGGTTTGCTCGTCTCTTTTCATCAACTCTTCCTCGAGGTCAAAGTTGGCGACTTTAAGGTCTGCGATCTCCGCCCACACAGCTTCTCTGGCTTCCTCCACTTGTGCAGCAAAAACAGAAGCCTTCTGCTGTTTCAGATGAGTGATCTCACACTCTTTGGCCTCCAGCTCTTTGAGGTGCTCATTCTGGACATTCTCACACTGTGCTTTGAAGGCCCTTATTTGCGCCTGTTCAGTCTGAAGCTTCTCTTTGAGCTCCTCTACCAGCTGCTGCAGAGCAGTCTGGGAGGTCTGGGCCTCTCTGGTGGCCTGCTGTTCCTGGTCCAGGGCAGATCTTAGTGCGGACACTTGTGTCTTCAGCTTCAGTGTCTCTCTCTCCTTCTCCTGCATTTTGCGCTCAGCTTCACTGGTGAGACACTTCTCCTGGTTCAGGGCAGATGTGAGAGAGTCCACTGTTGTTGACAGCTTCTGCGTCTCTGTCTCTAACTGCTCCACATGTCTCTGGGCTGTGAGTGTGGCCTGGTCTCTCTCACTCAGATCTGACTGAAGTTGGGTCACCTGAGTCCTCAGTGACTCCTTCTCCTGCTGCTCCTGCTGCTCCTGCTGCAGTTCCTGTTGGAGAGCTGTGATCTGGTCCCTCAGAGCGGCCTTCTGTCGGGACGTCTCAGAGATTACATCCAGGAGTCTCTGTGCTCTCTTTTCTCTACGGTCCAGCATGATTTCGAGTTTAACGTTTCTTTCAGACAGATTGCGTAACTCGTCCTCCACAGCTTCCTTGGCCTCCTGCACCTGGTCACGAAAAGCGTCGTCAGCCTTTTCCTCTAAACTCCTGATGACTTTGTCTTTTTCTTCCAGCTCTTTCTTGTGCTGATTCTCCGTGTACTCCATCCAGTGCTCGCACTGAGCCTGGTGGCGAGATTTGAAGGCCCAAATCTCGCCTGGATCCCGCTCTACATCCAGTTTGAGGTTCTCTATTTGTGTGAGAAGCTCTTCCTGGGAGGCCTGGTTCCTCTCCTGTTCCCTTTCCAACTGTAGCTTCAGCTCTTGGTTCTGTCTGAGCAGATGTTGAGAGAGGGCCTGGTCTTGCGGAGCGTCCACAGACACAGTGCTATTTATGAGCTGTGTGGGACGCTGCGGCTGGTTCGGGCGTGGCGCCCTGCGCTGCCTACGACGCGGACCGTGGCTCATGTTAATGTTTTCGTTGTGTTTATCCATATTTCGTTGTTTTCGTCTCTGACTTCTGAAGGTGAAAATCTATGCTATTGTCTGAACAGATTTCACTCCCATCAACTGAAACTCCAGGTGGAATCTTAATTATGTCATAATGCTGATGTCATAGTTACCATAGCAACAGCTATACTGTGATAACAGCTGGTTTCCATAGTTACCAAAATTGCATTCACAATACTTTGTAGTTAATATATATATTTATTTCTAGTTAAAGGAGCAATATGTAAAAATCTGGCCAAAAGTGGTACTGCAGTCACAGTCAATATTTTGTAGTCCTCTCCCACTCTTCCTGACTCAGGTTGCCAGATTCACACCAAATCCAGCAGCAAACACAGGGAATTATCTTATCAGTTGTTTGTCCGTCTCCATTCACATTGTCATGACAGCCGTGCTAATGCTGAATGAATGTTTTGATTAATGTTTTTTTATTATTATTATTTGGACATTTGAGATAAAAAACAAAAACAAAATAAAAGCAATGTAATTATACATAGTTTATGCAAAATAAATAAGCAATTGATGTCCAAAATAGGAGTGGGAAGAATGGATGTTGGAACGTATTTCTTCAGCGTATCAACATCAGGGTTTGCTCAAGAGGATATCACCTTTCAATTTTATTTATTCCCTATTTTTTAGACAAACATGTAAAAGTCCCACATCAAAAAGAGACTGACATTATTTTAATTGGGGTACATGTGGTCTTAAATGATTATTTTTACAATTAAGCTATAATCTGCAAAAAAAATGTCTTGACCTTTATCTTTTACCGTTTTTAGAGTAATCTGTCATAGAATGTGATAACATGCAATAAATACAAAAAGACATAGCCCGGGATCGAACCCGGGTTCCTGCATCGTAAGCGCACAGCTTAGACCACTAGACCACCGATTCACACGGATAGAGACACTGTGAAGAACGCACTCAAACTAGAAAATTCTGCATCACACGTGAACTTTTATCAGCTGTCTCAATTGTTCAAAGGCATCCCGATATAAATCCTCGTTTTAGTCTTTGTTTTGTCATTAATGATTTGAGAGTCATAACAAGACCTTTTTTTGTTCTGCGCCACATGTTATTTTACCACTGAGATTAATGAGCCGCGCGGAGTTCTGGCAACCCGATCACGGACTTACATGACACTTCCTGATTGGCGAAACGGCGGAGGGTAGGACATCAAAATCAAAACAATAACAACTTTTACGGGTCGTAAAACTAATTTTGATAATCAAATATCTCGGCTGAACTACTGTTATCAGTTAAAGATGAATTCGAAAAGAGTATGATTTAATAACGCCTTTTGAAATATTCGGGTCATTTAATGATGACTTGACATGCAAATATTACATATTGCTCCTTTAAGTGAACCCTAACTATATTCTGAATGCCAATTAGAGAAAGTAAAAACCAGGCCACACTCTGGACGTTGTGTTTTGAACATCAGAAAATATAATGCAGTAAAAAGACTATCTTTTGAATACGCTGGAAAATAGCTGCAAGTCCTAAGTAGCTCTGAAACAATTGTTGTTTTGTGCTTTAAATTTTTTTTTTTTATTGCTTTTTTTTCTACCCTTGCTGCAGTACAGTGTTCATGGTTTTACACTGGTCCAGACCAGAGCAGAGAGGATTCATGGTCCGAAAACTATGCTAAAAAAATATTCAGCATTTTACTTTGGACTAGAGCAGAGAAAATGGTCAAAACAAAGCAGCTACTCCACCTTGTGACCTGTCCTGCTCCACCCAGGGGCTACTCCACCTCTGCTGCTGTGACCTGAAGGGCTGTTGCTGATTATTACTATTGTTAGATTTTTAGAATGATACATTTTATTTTTTATTTTTGCTGCTACTGGACAGCTGAATTTCTCCAATGGGGCTCAATAAAGGATCCATCTATCTAAAATGGAACGTGTGAATGAAGGGTTGTCCTCTCTGAAAATGGTTTCATAAAGACCTCTAGAGTTTTTCTGTGGCCTCGGTCTTAAAAAAAACAGGACAGAGTTTTGTAAATCATTAAGTCTGTTCTTCCAGCATCACTTCACCAAAAAACATCTTTAAAATAATCTGAGTTTCTGAAGTAACAAGAACAGAAGAAAAGCTAACGCTCCGTTTAACATTTCACAAGTGACACAATTCACAGGAAATAATGACTTACAGTGCCTTGTGAAAGTATTCGGCCCCCTTGAACCTTTCAACATTTTGCCACATTTCAGGCTTCAAACATAAAGATATAAAAAAATAATTTTTTTGTCAAGAATCGGCAACAAGTGGGACACAATCGTGAAGTGGAACGAAATGTATTGGATAATTTAAACTTTTTTAACAAAAAAAACCCCTCCAAACTTTCATCTCAAACAAGGAGAAGACTGATCAGAGATGCAATCAAGAGGCCCATGATCACTCTGGATGAACTGCAGATAACTACAGCTGAGGTGGGAGAGTCTGTCCATAGGACAACAATCAGTCGTGCACTGCACAAATCTGGCCTTTATGGAAGAGTGGCAAGAAGAAAGCCATTTCTCAAAGATATCCATAAAAAGTCTCGTTTAAAGTTTTCCACAAGCCACCTGGGAGACACACCAAACATGTGGAAGAAGGTGCTCTGGTCAGATGAAACCAAAATTGAACTTTTTGGCCACAATGCAAAACGATATGTTTGGCGTAAAAGCAACACAGCTCATCACCCTGAACACACCATCCCCACTGTCAAACATGGTGGTGGCAGCATCATGCTTTGGGCCTGCTTTTCTTCAGCAGGGACAGGGAAGATGGCTAAAATTGATGGAAAGATGGATGGAGCCAAATACAGGACCATTCTGGAAGAAAACCTGTTGGAGTCTGCAAAAGACCTGAGACTGGGACGGAGATTTATCTTCCAACAGGACAATGATCCAAAACATAAAGCCAAATCTACAATGGAATGGTTCACAAATAGACGTATCCAGGTGTTAGAATGGCCAAGTCAAAGTCCAGACCTGAATCCAATCGAGAATCTGTGGAAAGAGCTGAAGACTGCTGTTCACAAACGCTCTCCATCCAACCTCACTGAGCTCGAGCTGTATTGCAAGGAAGAATGGGCAAGAATTCCAGTCTCTCGATGTGCAAAACTGATAGACATATACCCCAAGCGACTTGCAGCTGTAATTGCGGCAAAAGGTGGCGCTACAAAGTATTAGCGCAAGGGGGCCGAATAATATTGCACGCCCAACTTTTCAGTTTTTTATTTGTTAAAAAAGTTAAAATTATCCAATAAATTTTGTTCCACTTCACGATTGTGTCCCACTTGTTGTTGATTCTTGACAAAAAAAATAATTTTTATATCTTTATGTTTGAAGCCTGAAATGTGGCAAAATGTTGAAAGGTTCAAGGGGGCCGAACCCCTCAGGTGGACTGTATAAAATGCAGTCCACCTGAGTTGACTCTGTGTGGGACCCCCTTCTGCTGCAATAACAGCAGGAAGTCTTTGGGGTGTTTAGTTTTAGTTTAGTTTATTTGTTTATTTGACCAATACACATTGTGCTCAAAAGGAGTGGGCTGAAGCAAAAAGCTTATGAGCCCCCACCCCCAAGTGCAATACATAAAAAAAGAACATTTCAAAACATTTCAAGCAGCTAGATTCGTACAGACCAAATTACAACAAACAACAAAAATATATTAACTCTTTATATAATTAATTGGAACAACGCACAGCTACAACAACAATCTAGTTTCATATACGATGTCTAGAACAAAGCAAGTCAGAAAATGTGTTACTTAATATATTGCTTGCAGATTTTTACCCGTGATTACAGAGTTACTTTTATGGTCTAAAAGTACATTAATAGATATTATAATCTGAGATCTTGATACTTTCCAGTTGTCATTACCATTCTCAGTATGGCAAATCTTGTGTGACTCTACAAGATTTGCATCTAGAGACAAAAACTTTATTTGCTGCTTTTTTTTGGAAAATCTATAATTTAACATTCTTTTAGAATGTCCTCTTCTTTTAGAATGTTAAATTGTATCTTAAATAGAAATAGTATGACGCTTCTAACGCCCGGTGCAGCCACCAGAGGGAGGAATTGAATTTTTTTTTTTACAAATTGGAAAATTACCTGTGGGGGCGGGTCCCATCTCAAAAGTGGCCAAAATGACTTGCGCTGACATGCTGCAATACCACCCCGGGCCAGAGGGGCTGGACCCAGAAAGGGAATTATTCAATGCAAATGTACGTATCTTCTGACCTCTCAAAAACACCTTTACAGGATGGTCCAAAAGTCGCTCTTGGCCCAAAGCTCCATTCCACATGTGTATCAATGCTGAGGGGAGTTTAGTCGCTGTGAATTTTTGAAGGCACTCGCTTAACTGAATGGAGCTTGTGCCGGCTGACGCATGCGCAGATGCGTTTTTTCACATTTTCCAACAACCGCGGCCATTTTGAATCACTCCATGAAAAAAATGTTTTTGGCCCATTTGTTAGATCGACGGAGATAGGCGTGACTACGTCCGTTAATATACAGTATACAACCTATTAAAATTATCGGCTGCAACCGCAGACATGTACAAACAACATAATTACATTTGATAAATTGCTAAAACTAATTTGGAAGCACTACTTCCGGAAACTGCTCGGAGTGTGATGTCATAGATTGACAGGGTATGGACGGATGTGTTTCCTGAATGTCTCCTGCGGGGATCAGTAAAGTATCTCTCGGTCCTTTCAGGGCGTCACACCTTCTCTTTACCACATGTTGTTGAACCTGTCGCATGCACTTGAACACAACAGAAGTGTGATGTCGCGGTTGTTTTGGCCCCGGTCCCCAGTGTCAGCCTGTGTGTCCCTCGCAGCAGGGGCCTCTGTCTGGACCTCACAGATATAATCCTTCCTCCGGCTGCATGTAGTTATCCCCACGACACGACTCTGGAGTGTGGAGGGAGCAGACTCTAGGCTTCAGCAAAACTGACAACTTCAATCTGTCTGTGTCTCCATCTGCCAAACAAAGATAGAT